AAATTTTGAATGTGGGTCAATAAACAAAATGCCATGGCCTTTCACCTGTGACCCATCTCCAAAGGGTTAACTATTATACGTGATGTACATTTTTTTGGGGGGTGGTTAATGAAAGTGTTCCAAAATGCGACATTAATTTCTTGGTGACCTAATATTTTATTTATTAACAACCATGGTGTTGCCTTTACTGGCAAAACCATGGTCTTTAATTTTTCCTCAATTCTGTAAAAATTACTTTTTAACACTATTAATTTTTCAATTAGAGTTTTTATATGCAAGTACTAACTATTTATATTTGTGAAAATTGTTTTAAAGGATGAAATATATAACTGTCTTTTGTTAAAATTTAAGCATAAACAAGTAATTAGCAAACTTAGAGCAATATTTTGTAATTGTATTTTAAGAATGCTTTCTATAGCTAGACGTCTGATCTTACCTTTCTGTTTGATTAGTCACAATTATAATATTTATTGATTTTTTGAAAAGTATTAACTTTAGGTTATGTTGAATACAAGATTTTTTAATAATGCTATATATATAAATAAAAAATGTGGAATTTTTTAGTCACTCAAAAACATTTTCATAATAGGTATTACATCTTAATTTTACTTTTGGGAATTGTATAGTGTTGTAGAAGTAAGTTTTAGGCACAATTGGCACATTCAGAAGTAGGATGAATGATTCTGTTGATTCGAGATATCTGTATTCACAACTTTTAAGAGAAATTTATAAAAATATTTCAGATTTTTTTCTCTTTCATTCAACACTGTAATTCATCTGTGCTATATGCTACAGGTTCATCTTTATTTAGTTATTAAAGAAATGTTTTAGGAAAATTTTCTAGTTTTGTTTCTTTCTTTCTAAACTTTGTAATATGTAGAGACAATCTAATTAAATCTTTGCTGGAATGGCAGTTGTCTCAGAAGACCAGATTTGTTATTGATAAAGCGAATCACCAAATGGTATAGCTAGTTATAAAAAGGGTGATTGTCTCAAAAAATAAAGGGGTGGATAACACCTAACAGTGTGTATAAAGTAGTTGAATTTCCTTGCAAGACCCCCAATTTTCCTTATGTTTCTGGTTCTCAATATTTTTCCCTTTGGCAAAATCCCTAATTTCCCTATTTTTGGGAGAAGGAAAAGGTTTGTGTGTTACCTTGTAAGATCTGTTTTTCTCTAAAATTTGCCCTGCCTTTTCTTCAACCAGTCTTTATAATTTGCCATATTGTTTCTTGATTTACCATTTATTTATTTGAAGGAGGAGGTTTAAGTGAATTCTAAAGTGACTGTGTCAAGACCAGTTTTTTACTTCTGTATTGAAAATTTTTACAGGTACTTACAAGATCCATAACTCCTAAATATTATATGTATTGTGACTTGCAGTGTAATAATTTTGGTATTTATAGGCATGGGAAGGATCCAGAAGAATTATTATGGCATGGGAAGGATCCAGAAGAATTATTATGGCATGGGAAGGATCTAGAAGAATTATTATGGCATGGGAAGGATCTAGAAGAATTATTATGGCATGGGAATCCAGAAGAATTATTATGGCATGGGAAGGGTCCAGAAGAATTATTTTGGCATGAGAAGGGTCCAGAAGAATTATTATGACATGGCAAGGGTCCAGAAGAATTATTATGGCATGGGAAGGGTCCAGAAGAATTATTATGGCATGGAAAGGGTCCAGAAGAATTGTTTTTATTGTCCACCTTAGACTCAGTGGAGGGGAGAACTCAGAGTTTTGGGGAGCAGAATATATCCTAAGTTCTCTGACTTTTCTGTAAGAGTACAAGTTGTCCCTTCATTTATCCTACTTTGCTGTTAAGTTCTGAACACTTGTGTAGATTTCTAACACAAAATATGTTCTGTGTTGTATCATTATATAAATTAAATCTGCAAAGTTCATTCATAGTTGTCTTTTTACTCCTGTGCTTTTAGCATTTAATTGTGATGGGCTTGTGTGTTTTAACTGTTGGAAAGAAGCCATCATTAATAATGCTTATGTTAATTTTTAAGTGTTTTGGGTGACAGGACAACCACAACTTGTGATTCTGTACCACTGTGTTCCATTTTTAATGACTTCTTTTTTATATTTTTCATGATATGATAATGAATATTTATTCATTGTAAAGTTCAGGTTGTGTATGAGATACGTGACAGTGAAATTCCAAACTGAAACTATTTTCCTGTGTTTTCTAACATTGTTTAATGTGTGCTTAAAGTTTCATAGTGATTTCATTGCCAGATTCTTCTTATAACTAATGCAAAGATAGTAATTTTTACTAAATTGTTTAACCTTAGCATACTGGGATTCAGGTGTTTATTTCAACTAAAGTACTAGTTGTTTTACTTATCAGCTGGGCCGTGAAGAACCTGCAATGTCTATGGATTCTTCTGGGAAGATTATCTGGGCTAAACACTCTGAGATCCAGCAAGCTAATCTAAAAGCAGTGGCTGATACAGAAATCAAAGATGGTGAAAGGCTGCCACTTCAGGTGAAAGACATGGGAAGCTGTGACATTTATCCACAGACAATATCACATAACCCAAATGGCAGGTATGTTACTCGTATGGCTGATTGTGAGGGACTTTTCTGTTCTGTTATTAGCTGTGACATTTATCCACAGACAATATCACATAACCCAAATGGCAGGTATGTTACTCATCTAGCTGATTGTGAGGGACTTTTCTGTTATGTTATTAGCTGTGACATTTATCCACAGACAATATCACATAACCCCAATGGCAGGTATGTTACTCATCTAGCTGATTGTGAGGGACTTTTCTGTTATGTTATTAGCTGTGACATATATCCACAGACAGTATCAAACAATTCCAATGTTTTGTGATAGCCATTACATTTATTTGTTTAAATACCCAACTTTGAAAGTAATAGTCATAAGCTTTGTTTATATTTCCAGTTGTGATTGTAATATAACTAAGTTTTCAGCTTTTATAGTAATAATCAGAATGTTTAAATTTCTGTTTGTGATAGCAATAATCAGAACCTTTGTTTAAATTTCCAGCTGTGGTAGTAATAGTCAGATCCTTTGTTAAAATTTCCAGCTGTGGTAGTAATAGTCAGAACCTTTGTTTAAATTTCCAGCTGTGATAGTTATAGTAAGAACATTTGTTAAAATTTCCAGCTGTGGTAGTAATAGTTAGAACCTCTGTTTAAAATTCTACCATTGGTAGTTATAGTAAGAACCTTTGTTTAAATTTCCAGCTGTGATAGTTATAGTAAGCACCTCTGTTTAAAATTCTACCTGTGGTAGTTATAGTAAGAACCTTTGCTTAAATTTCCAGCTGTGGTAGTAATAGTCAGAATATTTGTTTAAAATTCCAGCTTTTATAGTAATAGTCAGAATATTTGTTTAAAATTCTAGTTGTGAAAGTAATAGTTAGAGACTTTGTTTAAATTTCCAGCTGTTATTAAAAAGCTACCTACTTAAATTCTTTTTTTTTACATGATCCTGTAAAGCTAACTGTAATCAGTTCTCTGTAAACTATAATTTAAAGATCATTGGTAAATTTTTCTGTTATGAATATATACTTTGTAAGACATTATTATGTATATATTATGACATATATTTCATGGTTATATTTACTCTTTAGACTGGTTATTCCATTGTAAAGTACAACTCGTTTATACTGAAAACAAAACAACTCTTTCTGTTCATTACAGTGGATGTTAAAGTACGTTGAATGTTCTGTTGTATAGGTATGACTCATGCTTGTAAGAGGATTACTGGATCAATTAAAAAATCACCTTTTGTAATAATAGAGAAAGGAATTGGTATTCTATTGGTAAATAAAGGATTGTATCAATAAGATAGAAGTTGTGTAATGTGCAGGTACTACATGCTTTACTCTCCTGTGGTGTATATTTTATATATTAAAAAAATATTAATTTTTCCATGTTCTGACCTGCAACATACTAAATCCAGTCAAAATCATGTGCTCAATTAAGTCTGAGGTGTTATTTGCTGTAGTTGGTCCAATCAAGGAACTTATCTACTATTTAATGGGCTGTTTGTATTGTATCCTACTTTAATTTGTATAGAGAAGATTGCTTTCTGACTACAGAAAGAAAGTGCTTTATTAATACAGTTTTGTCAATTTCAGGCAAATTTCTTTACATCTTTGAGGAGTGTACACTTATGTTTGAGAGAGTTCAGACTCGCTGGTGAAGTCTTATATTTATCTCTTTTTAGGTTCCTATCTCATCCTTACTGCTTATTGTGTATGCTTTAGTCACATTCATTTAATTATTGATTTTTCTTTTACAGTTTTGGTAGAGTTTGTATTGATATGGAATATTAGTATTACTTGTAAGATTACAGACAGATTACATGGTATGTGGTTTTCTGTTTCAGGTTTGGTAAATTTTGTATTGATGTGGATATTAGTATTACTTGTAAGATTACAGACAGATTACATGGTATGTGGTTTTCTGTTTCAGGTTTGGTAGAGTTTGTAGTGATGTGGATATTAGTATTACTTGTAAGATTACAGACAGATTACATGGTATGTGGTTTTCTGTTTCAGGCTTGGTAGAGTTTGTAGTGATGTGGATATTAGTATTACTTGTAAGATTACAGACAGATTACATGGTATGTGGTTTTCTGTTTCAGGTTTGGTAGA